GACTTAAGAAGTCTCTATATGGCTTAAAACAAGCCCCTAAACAATGGTATGAAGAATTTCATAAAACGTTGCTAGATTTGGGTTATTCTACTAATAGATCAGATGCATGCTTATACTCAAAAGAGATAGAGTCAAGCACTGTGATAATATGTCTATATATAGATGACATGCTGATTTTTAGCTCAAATCTTGAGGCTATAAATGAGACTAAAAGAACTCTTTGTAACAAGTTTGAAATGAAGGACTTAGGGGAAGCCGATGTAATTCTGGGAATAAAAGTTACAAAGACTGGTAATGGCTATTTGCTATCACAAAGTCATTATACAGAGAAACTTCTGAAGAAGTTTGACAGTTATGAAGTAACTCCGGCTAAAACCCCCTTTGATCTAAGTGTCAAACTGCCGAAAAATATAGAGAATAGTGTGTCTCAAGATGAGTACGCAAAAATAATTGAGAGTCTAATGTTTTTAATGAATTACACTAGACCAGATATTGCATTTGCAGTAAATAAACTCAGTCGCTATACTCACAACCCTAGCACTCCGCATTGGGATGCATTGAGAAGAGTATTGCAATACCTGAGAGGCACCGTGGACTGGGGTCTTAATTACAAAGGATACCCAGCAGTGCTAGAAGGGTTCTGTGATGCAAATTGGGTAAATGATAGTGAGGATGTAAGCTCAACTAGTGGATATGTTTTCACTGTGTGGAGCAGCCATCTCATGGAAATCAACCAAACAGTCATGCATTCCTAGGTCAACTATGGAAGCCGAATTCATAGCTCTGGACCTGGCAAGCCAAGAAGCCAAGTGGCTGAGAAACCTACTGGCAGACGTGCCATTGTGGGGGTGTCCAGCACCGGCTGTTCCTATGCATTGTGATTCACAAACTGCCATCTGTGTTGCACAAAATAGCGTCTATAATGGGAAAAGAAGATACATAAGAGTCAGATATGAGTCTGTAAGGCAGCTAATATTGAATGGGGTAATCATAATGGAGTTTGTGAGATCTGAAAGGAATATTGCAGATCCTTTCACAAAAAGCTTAAACAGGAAAGCCATCCTTGATACTTCAAGGGAGATGGGTCTGAAACCCAATGAGGTAAGCAATTCGTGATGAACCACTTCGGTGGCCAAATAAAGTCACAGAAAAACTTACTGCAAGGAAAACTGTAAAAACAGTATGTACTCTGTAGCCGGCTATGGGTGGTCTATATCGAGATAGACTTGACAGAGTTGATGTCTAGATTGAGCTAGACCAAACAGGGACTCTTTAAGAGTTAATAAGTGCATTCAAGTTCAAAACTCAATAAACCGACGAGTTCAAGATTCGATTCACTCTCGGGCGACAAGTTACTTAAATGTCACTTCATGGAAGTTCAAGTTTCGTACACTGACATGGAAATTAGCTCTTGAGCTGGCTCAGGTAATCTTGGGTATTGCTTTGCCCCATGAAATGTGTAGGGGATTGTTGGGAACATTAATGAGGCAAAGGCATTAGAAGGTGTCTTTACTAAGTATCCCACATTGGAAAGCTAGCCCATCTTTTCTCACGTTTTAAACACCAACTCCTTTGACAAGGCTTGAAGTGTTATGGAGGGAAATAAGGGGAAACCACGCGCGCGCCGCCACCGCCGCCCACTCGGCTCGACACGCGCGTCGCTGGGGTCAAAGTTTTGCACTCCTCTATAAATTTTAACCCCTATTTTTGTGGGATAACAGATCACCTTGTCGCTCTTCTTTCTAAACTACAGAACGTGAGCGAACAAAGCATTGGTCTTGTCCACACTCCACTCTTTTCGCACTGTCTCTATGCCTGAGAGGGGTTGGGCGGTTATAGCTTCCAGTATATAAACTGCCCTTCCCCATCGTTGTGAGCATCCTTTTTTCCCGAACTGATACATCACCTGAGCTTTGTTGTTCTGTGCTTACCTGTCGAAAACTTGCGATTCCCTGGTCGTAAAGGTTTTTAGGGTAGTGTTACAACATGACATAGTAACCTACAATTCCCATTTCCACTCATGCGATACAGCCATATTCAAAGTACTGTTACGTACAACATTGTTGTTTTCGTCCTCAAAATCCAACAGCAACAGGGCCGTTCTTAAGAAAATTGTGGTCCAGTACGAAAATTAACATTGGCCCCCCATTTTGTATAATTGTAAATATATAAAAGATATATTGTATTGTACCAAAATATATAATAGTCTATAAAAAATTTATTATTCAAAATTTCACTTGAAAAGTGACATTCATCTTCTTCTTCAACCATATTTAGATGCAAAATTATTCACCAATCCATTGAGTCTTTTTTTACAATATAGTTGATCATAAGTAAGATTTCAACAACTTTAACTTTAAAAAACTTCTTTATGCATAAACAACAATAATGAAAATAGTCAAGACTAATTGATATTGCAATTGTAGTATCAAAATACAAGAAATTAGATTGTTATTCACCAATCAAAAAAATTCCTAGCTAGGGTTAGTTATTGAATTAATAATTTTAAATTTTTTAATACAATTAAAGAATTAAAATATTTAATTATTTACGTACCTTCATCCTTTTATCGTGAAGAATAAAAAAATTTAGGATGTCAAATGCACAAACAACGCACTTCAAATTAATGATTACTGAGACCGAATTCTTGCATTATAAATACAAATCTTGCGTGTATGTCCATTTTTTACTCTTTATATATAATAATTTTTATAATAATCAAATAGGCCGGCCTCAATTCCTATAAGTTATAGGACTATAACTCTATACGTAAATCAAGTTCTTAAGAATTAGGAATATAAATTTTTTAAAGGGAAAATGACACCTTTTCCCCCTGTGTTGTTTACTAATAGCACATTTTCCCCCTGTGTTGTTTATGTAACCACTTTATCCCCCTCAATTACTTTTGAAGTGGCTATTTTCTCCCTCTCCGTTAAGTAAGTGTTAGTGTTGTTAAATATGAGGGTAAAAATGACATTTCACTTCTTCTTCTTCTTCTTCTTCTTCTTATTATTATTATTATTATTATTATTATTATTATTATTATTATTATTATTATTATTATTATTATTATTATTATTATTATTATTATTATTATTATTATTATTATTATTATTATTAGTATTATTATTATTATTAGTATTATTATTATTATTATTATTATTATTATTATTATTATTATTATTATTATTATTATTATTATTATTATTATTATTATTATTATTATTATTATTATTATTAATGAATGACCCCACCCAACACCCCTAATATACTGCAGTACTCCACGCTTAAAATGCACAGTTATATTGCAAACCAAGTTCATTACTAATAATAATAATAATAATAATAATAATAATAATAATAATAATAATAATAATAATAATAATAATAATAATAATAATAATAATAATAATAATAATAATAATAAGTCCCACCCAACGCCCTAATATACTGTAGTACTCCACGCTTAAAATGCACAGTTATATTGCAAACCAAATTCATTAATAATAATAATAATAATAATAATAATAATAATAATAATAATAATAATAATAATAATAATAATAATAATAATAATAATAATAATAATAATAATAATAATAATAATAATAATAATAATAATAATAATAATAATAATAATAATAGTAATAATAATAATAATAATAATAATAATAATAATAATAATAATAATAAGTGAAATGTCATTTTTACCCTCATATTTAACATCCCTAACACTTATTTAACGGAGAGGGGGGAAAATAGCCACTTCAAAAATAATTGAGGGGGATAAAGTGGTTACATAAACAACACAGGGGGGAAATGTGTTATTAGTAAACAACACAGGGGGAAAAAATGTCATTTTCCCTTTTTTAAAATTTTAGACCGTCTTGATATCTTTATATATAAATTACACCTACACTAATATATAAAATATAAATATAAAATAATATTTTTTTTATAATAAAAGTACCCCCAAAATTTGGGGGCACAACACACATATATACTGTACTACGTATGTAATATTTGGGGGCCCTGTGCGCTGGCCCTGGCCAGGGACGACCCTGAACAGCAACACCTAGGAGAGAAAAACCCTTCGGGGAAAAATGCAACCAATGCTAAGTTCTAATCCAAAGCACCCAAAATCTTTCATTCAACAACAAAGGAACTTGAACAACAAGAATAGTTAAAGGAATAACATTTATGAACCCTAGATACAAGCTCTAACATGCATAAACAGAAGGATATGCATCATTTCACTCATGAACATCAAGAACACCAATAGGTCATCAAGAAATCATCAATAGCAATGTAAAATACATTTTGTAGAGCATGAGTTACCTCCTTAAGCCTAGAAATACTTCCTTCAACCTCTAATCCTCTTCTTGGAACTCTTCTTCCACAAGGTCTTCCAAATACAAACCAAAACCACACAAACAACCAAAACTTAGATAAAGATAAGGAGAAACCAACTAAAACACTAGCTAAGCTTAAGCCTTACCCTTCCTAAGGTCTTGATGGATGAAAGTTGGAATCTTGAAGGGTTCTTGGTGAGATTGGGGAAGGGTTTTGGTTTAGCTTGGGGAAGAAGCTAAGATTTTAGAGAGAAGATGGAGAGAAATGTAGAGAGAGATGGAAATGTTGGAATGATTGGGGATTCTCTTGGTTGGGGTAAGGTCTTTAGGCAAAAATCTGAAAAGTTGTAAGGTGGGTCCCCCTTCAGTCAATTTAGAGCTAGGAAGAATTCAAAGACTTGGTACAAGGCACAAAGCACAACTGTACAATTCATTGACCAAGGAATTTGGTCAATTTAGGTTCTCCAACTATTTGATTAAAGAATTAGGAAGGAATTTTGCAAAGCAAGTTTAGAATTAATTAAATAATTAATTCCGTTTAAGGGATAATTTTCCAAGGTGTCACATTATGTATTCATATTTATATGAATGGTTGGTTTCCACATAATGTTTATATACATGTGATGTATTATATTGACTCGGGCAGGGCTGGATTTTGGGCTATGCAAGCTGGGCTACAGCATAGGATCCCAAATTTTTGAGGGCTCAATATTTAAATTTTACCTAGCAAGTTTAGAAATAAAAACTAAAAGTTTTCAATTAAACTTAAAAGGTTCCATGGAGAAATGGTAGTAATGTGTGTTTATTGTGTTTTCATTTGGAGGTCAGAGGTTTGAAACTTGCATGCTGCTCCAGCTTTGGACATCTTTTTTTTTTTTTTTAATCCTTTTGCATTGCGAGCTTGCGCATACCATTATTATTGTTGTTGTTGTTGTTATTGTTGTTATTTTTACCACCTTATTATTATTATTATTATTATTATTATTATTATTATTATTAGAAAAGATTACGGTATTGGTTTTAAAGATTGTGATTTTGGTAGAGCCTCATTTATTTACCAGAACGGAGCCACAAAAATTGAAAAATCAGCCCTGACCCGGGGTCCGAATCAATTAACCTGATAAAATTATAGATATGACAACTATAGGATTAAGACAAGGATAATGATAAAGGTAATGTAATGAAGGGATAAATATTGATAAGTCCCATAGATAATAATTATATTGGTAAAGTGTAATGCTATTACAAGGAATAAATTATGTAATAACAAGACAAGGTTGAAGATTAAGATTGGATATCCCTCAACAAGATATAATAGAGTGTTTTATACTCCAAATCGCCCCTAACCGCCCCATAAAAGAAAGGGGTGGGTTATAACTACCTTGGACTGCAACAAACGCCGCAAAAACAGTGTCCACGTGAAGACTCATCACTCGGCCGAGCATGGAGCTCGGCCCAAGTCGCCGACCTTGGCCGAGGTGGCTGAGCTTGACCACATGGTCGAGCACTTGGCTTCAGTCATGTCCGGGTCGGCCAAGTCCGGCACCGGGTTTCCTCTAGTACTCAAAGTCACACGCGTATATGTATAATTTTCCTTAAACATATTGTGTTTTATTCTCTTTGTATTGCGTGAGTGGGCTCCAAAGTTTGGAGTCCGACCTCTAACAAGTGAAAGGTCCTAAGCTCCACACCTTACTCGGGTTGGGATCCAAAGCTTGGGGTCCAAACTTCTACGGATGCAAGGACTTGAGCTTTTGCTCCCCAACCCAAGCTCCTTGGCTTGGGTTCTTCGTGTTGAGCCCTTCCACTTGAGCTCCATGCGTCGAGCTCTTCAACTTGTCCTCCTCAACCCGAGCCCGTTGATGAGCTCTTCAACTTGGGCTCCTCGTGATGAGCTCTTTAACCTTGAGCTACTTGGACGATCTCTTCGACTTGAGCTCTCCACGATGAGCTTTTTAACTCAGACTCTTTAACTTGAGCACCTTGAGATGAGCTCTTTAACTCGAGCTTTTTAACTAAAACTCCTTAAAATGAGCTCTTTAATTTGTGCTCTTTGGGATGAGCTCTAAGGCTTGAGGTCCAACCCCAAACAAACGCAAAGACTAGGGCTTCGCTCTAGATGAGCTCTAAAGGCTTGAGGTCCAACCTCAACAAACGCAAAAACTTGGACTTCATTCCTGTTAAGCTCTTTAACTTGAGCTCCTTGGGATGAGCTCAAAATTAGCTTAATTATGGAGGTTGGACCTTACCTAGATTCGTGTGCATGGCTACCTCGAGGTGGCTAGATTCAAGTCCCCTACGCTCAACTTGGATTTGGACCCAAGGGGTCAGACCGAACTCTGAGCTCGACCTAGCCTTGACCAAAGGAGGTCGGGTTGAGCTCAGAGCTTATCTTAGGCTTGACCTAAGGAGGTCGCATCGAGCTCGGAGCTCGGCCTAGGATTGACCTAAGGAAGTCGGGTCAAACTCGAAGGTCGACCTAGTTTTGACATAAGGAAGCCTGGCCGAGCTCGGAGTTCAGTATAGGTTTGACCTAAGGAGGTCGGGTCAAGCTCAAAGCTCGGCCTAGTTTTTAACTAAAGAGGTCGGGTCAAGCTCAGAGCTTGGCCTAGTTTTTACCGAAGGAGGTCGGCTTTCGCACGTCATGTACTCGATTCCTCTTTTTTTTTTTTTTTTTTTTTTCCTTTTTTTTTTGGGTGTTAGTCATTTTTTTGGAAAGGTTTTACCTTGGACCAAAAGACTCTTCCGTCCGAAGGTAAGCGAGGTCGGACCTCATACCGTCCCTAGGGTACTAGCCGCTTAGTCGAGGTCATTCAACCTTGGACCATTAAGCTCTTCAGTCCAACGGTACGTGAGGTCAGACCTCGTACTACTCCAAGGGTAATAGCCGCTTGGTCGAGGTCATTCGTCCTTGGACCATTAAGCTCTTCCGTCCGGAGGACCCCGTACCACCCTAAGGGATGTGTTGTGGGGTCGGCTAAGGGCTTTTTGGGCCACCTTGGAGGTCGGCCTCCCCTCACTTCCTCCTTATGAATAGGAAAATGACTATCATGACAAAATTATAGCTACTTTTGGATTCACATAACGTTGGTTATGACTTGCCAACCGTACAGTGTATTGCACCAACTTTTTAGAACACGTGTACATCATGGTTTTTGCTTTTATGCGTGAACATAGTGCTTTTGTCCACAAAACTATGTGCAACGTCTTACCGTTCCAATCATTATTGTGTGGACCATATTTTGTCTACTGTAAAATAATGTATATTCAGTACAAAAATAATGTACATTGTATTCAGGGGATGTACATTATTTTTGTTCTGAGTGTACATTAGTCCACACACACTACAATGCACATGTATGTACACATTCGCACACAAGGCACACCCACTAGTTTCCCACTACAACGTATTGCATGTCTCTGCACACGGTCGTTACCAAATTTGCACAACCCTATCCTCCCCAACACAATCCGTTCACTAGTTTCCAACATCAACTTTGTTGCACTGGGCTGCACACGCTCGACATATGTAGAAACCAACACAATCGCACAAGCCTCACACCAAAAGCGCAATAATAGCGTTTTATAAATCTACACAAGGAGCGAATAAAGAAAAAACCCATTGTTGTCTTCTTCCATTGACACGATCTCCAGTTTACAAACTGTTTATTCAACCTCTACGTTGGTTTTTGTGCTTCAAATCAGTTTGTTTTGATTTATTTTGATACCTACTTAGAATTCCTATAAAAAAAATGAGAGAATTACCTGGCAAATATAATCTCATTAAAAGAAGGCAACAAAATTACTATGTCACCCCTATTTATTAAATCTATCCTTGTTTAATTGGGGATTGACAATAAATCTTGATCATTAGATTTTATTCATTGGATGTTTAGGATGCACTCCCATGATCTCATGTAGAAGGTACCCACATATATATATATATATATATATATATATATATATATATATATATATATATATATATATATATATATATATATATATTTTTTTTTTTTTTTTTTTTGAAAGGTTCCCGTGCGGTTGAATGCTTCCCGTGCGGATGTACGATGGATTAATGTGCGTGAGTGTTGTGCTTAATGTGCCTGAGATTTGTACTTAATGTGCGTGAATGTGTAAAATGCAGCATAAAATATTGATGTCAGCTTCTTCCCCATCCCTAGTAGCCATTTGCCCCCTCCCTGATGATGATGATGCGGAGGCGAGCTATGGTGGTTAAGAATTATGGAAATAATACAACAGAAATCACACTTAGCTGCTGTGCAAATTTTATTGTGCATGCGTCATTTATATAAACATTCAACTGCATTGAAGGTAGCTGATAATCCAAAATCCATGGCCAAATTGAAGGAAGAAGTAACAAGAAGCTTGGGCGTTAATGTGCGTGAGTTTCTGTTCTGCTTCCTTCTGAGCTCGTAATTCTGAAATACTCACGCACATTAAGCACAAAACTCACGCATATTAACATGACGCACATGAAGTATAAATCTCAGGCACATTGAGTACAAATCTCACGCACATTAAGTATAAACCTCAAGCACATTGATCCACCGCACATCCGCACGGGAAGCCACAAATGCACGTGATCCCTTCCCTATATGTACACACACACACACACACACATTGGCGGAGCCACAATGGGGCAGCTGCCCCAGTCCCATCCCATTTATATATAGTGTATCAATGTATGCATAGGTCCCTTGTGTATACATAGTTAACTTACAAATGCTAAATTTACATAAATCTAATCAAAGTATGATTTAGCTTAGATGATAAGATATTTGGTTTTTCCATAAATGTTAGGAGTTCAAATCCTATCGTATGAATTTATAGTGAGATTAATTCTAATTGAATTTTTTATTTGTAACATTGTGTTTTTTAATCTCATTTTTTAAAAATATTAATAGTTATTTATAATATATTTTCTATTCGAACTATTTTATCTAATTAATTAATTAATTATATTTCATATTTTGTGGAATGTTTATTTGTAACATTGTGTTTTTTCTCGTTTTTTTAATATTAATAGTGATATGAGTGTTTTATAATATGTTTTCTATTCTTCAAAAAAAAATGTTTTCTATTTAAATTAGTTTATCTAATTAATTATATTTCATATTTTTTTCTCATTTTGATGTATTTTAAATTTTCATCCTAATTAACAATATTTATGACTTGCTCTCTGAGTATTTTTTTTTTCAAAATATCTCATTAATTTTTAATCTTTTGCACCCACTGATAAAGATTTCTGGATCGGCCCTGTTGATATAGATATAGATATAGATATGCAAGTGTTGACATCTCCAAAGATTTGACCAAGTCACCCACAAAATATCATCATATATATCATTGCCCAAGCGTTATATGTTCCGATACCATATATTATGTTGCAATCAGTTTGTAGTTTGTCCCACACTGATTAGCCGAACACTGACGGAAAACTCAAAGATGCTTTACCGTCCCAAAACTAGAGCATTCCAAATGTCATGAATGACTAGATTTTCCATCACAAAGCATGCATCTTTGAATTTTTCCACCAATAGTAATTCATATTAAAATATATGTTTTGACAAATTCACAATAACAATTAAATGATGTGATGCCCAAGCGTATAGTGGACGACAATTTTCATTTGTGATTTGTTTTTAGCAGAAAGGTAGATGTTTAATTTCTGTCAAAAACATAAATGGTGACGGAATTAATTATCTCGGGTGGGCCAAATCAACCAAATCCAATAATTAAAAGAATAAGGCAAGGAAAACGCATAAGGAAAATATCTTAACCTCGGAAAATAATAAATTAAATTATGTAATGATAACACAAGGTGAAGATGATCCACAAAGACAAGGAACAACCCAATATGAGCAAATACCAATTTTAGTCCCACGAATATTAGTAAAATGACAGTTTTGATCTATATGTTTAATTTCTACCAAATTTTATCCACGACTATTATTTCAGTACCAATTTTCATCTACGACTATTGTTTTAGTGGTTAAATTCATCACGCTGGTCAATCATTCGTTTAAGACATGCCGAAATCTAAAAATTAAGGGTATTTTTATCATTTTTAACTTAAGATCCCAATTTGAACATGAATAATAAGATTTAAGCCCTAAGATCGATCCCAATTCGCAGTTCTCCTCCTCATCCTACCTTAATTTGAGTATGAGAACTGTGAATTGTGATCGATCTTAGGGCTTAAATACTTTTATTCATGCTCAAATCGAGATTTTAATTTGAAAAAGTTGAAAATATCTTTAATAATTTCATATTTCGGGCATATATTAAGCAGATAGTGACCAGTGTGACAAATTTTGACACTAAAACAATAGTCGTGGATGAAAATTTGTGCTAAGACAATAGTCGTGGATGAAAATTGGTACTAAAACAATAATAGTGAATAAAAATTTGTAGGAATTAAATATGTAGACCAAAACTGTCATTTTATTAATACTCGTGAGGCCAAAATTGAGATTTGCTCAACCCAATATATACTAGAGCTGCTCCCCAACCCATTTTTAAAATATCCATCAAATAGTTTGGGTAGAGTACGGTGCTCAAAAAGCTGAGGTATTAACAAAAAATGACGTGGCGATATACCATCCAATGTTAGTTGTGTTGGGACAAGAATTCCATTAAATTCAGACCAAGGCTAAGGATCCAGTATTGACTGAAAAAATGAAGACACAGGTGAGGAACAACAAGGATTATGGTGGCTCACTTCCCGTTCAAAATGTGCAGGAATTAGCTTCCAACAACTTCACACACATTCCTCAACGTTACATCCGACCGGAGATGGAACAGGACGAGGTTTGCTCTGATGAATCCTTGCAAATTCCGGTTATGGATCTGAGCAAGCTCGACGCCGATGACTTGGAATTGGCTAAACTTCACCAGGCTTGTAAGGATTGGGGCTTCTTTCAGGTAACTATCATACACTACTTTTAGTTAATTATTTATTTATTTGTAAGTTATTTTTTGGGTGACGAGGAAACCACAGCCACTTCTGAAGTTGAACACAGGGTAAATCCTAGTTGACAAAAGATCACAAGAAAGGTAAATCAGTTTAGGTTGCCAATAATCTGGAAGGTGTGGTTGAGTGGAAGGGACTCATCCATCCTTAACCAAAGGTCAAGGGTTCGATCCTTGGTTTTAGGTATGGAGTAGCCGGGGCTGTTCCATCCAAAAAGGGTGCCTATAATTCAGCGAGGAATTAGTCCACTGTGTTCGACGGTGAAATTTCTAGGTATATCCAGAAAAAGAATCAAGAAAGTTGGGATTTGAACCCATAATGAGTTCATTTTTTATATGATGGAAAAATGCATGGTAGTTGATCAACCATGGTGTTGGAGAAGCAATAGAGGAGATGAAGTGTGTGACGGAGGAATTCTTTAAGCTGCCATTGAAGGAGAAGATGGGCTGTGGACAACTACCAAACACAATTGAAGGTTATGGGCAAGCCTTTGTGGTGTCCGAGGATCAAAAGCTTGATTGGGGTGACATGCTCTTCATCCTTACTCTCCCTGTATCTGGAAGAGACATGAGGTTTTGGCCAACTAATCCCTCTTCATTTAGGTAATTCACAAAATTCTTTGATAGATTCAACTCATCACATCATCAAAGCAATTCCCTTTTGCCCCGACATAGCTCAGTGGTGAAAGTCTGGGTGTGATTGTGGTGGCCAACAAATGTTTGGGTAAGAACCCAACAAGGTGTAAAATCTTGAAATATACCAGCTAATCACTCACTGTGCCATTGAGACACATTCCGTAATTTACATCCTCTCATAAGCTTATGACAGGAGAGGTGAGGATCCTTAAGTTTAGGGTTCAAACTTAAAAGCAATTCCGTTTTTTTCCTTCTTGACTTTTTGACTGATAACTTTTTTCACTTAGAATATGATTTTTTTTCCTGTATTAGTCTAATGATTTTGAATTTTTTTTACTACTTTTAATTCTGGCAAAATATCACTTGAATTAATTGTTGCACACTTTTAGGTGATGTTTAGTGAAAGAAAACTCGCCAAAAAGACTTTAAAATGATATAATAAATTCAAAGTTAATAAACTAATAGTAAAAAATAAAGAATTATAAGTGGGAATGTGAAAAGTGGAAACAACACTTTGCTTCTTATTTTAATAAGATTATTATTTGTGTATTTTGAGCAGGCCAACCTTGGATAGGTACTCATCAGAGCTGCAGAAAGTGGCAATGAGACTCTTCAGATTCTTTGAAATAAACCTTGGGATTGAGAAGGGTAATCTGACCAGCAAGTTTGAAGATGGAAACCAAGGTATAAGAATGAACTATTATCCACCTTGTATGCAAGCAGAGAAGGTGGTTGGCCTAACTCCCCACTCTGATGCCACTGGTTTAACACTGCTGGTTCAAGTCAATGAAGTTCAAGGATTACAAATCAAGAAGGATGCTAAATGGGTTCCCATTAAACCTATTCCGGGTGCAATTATCATCAACATTGGTGATATCATGGAGGTAAATAAGGGGAAAAAAAGGACCCCTATATCTAAATGCATGGTTAATTAATTAACACGAGCCACCAGGACATAGCTCAATGGTGAAAGTTTGAGTGTGCGTACCGTGGTTAGCAAATGCCCGGATTTGAATCCTGCAAGGTGTAAGATCCTAAGAAATAACCAAGCACTCCGATCATTGTGCCATTGAAGCACATTCACGGCTGGAAATTATGGAATTTCCGACCATTTGAAAGTGATCTTATATTAAGTCGAAAACAAAAAGTGGTAGAAATAGCAACAAAGGTTTTTTCCGGATACCAAAAGTGGTCGGAACAAGACTTTCGACTTAATTTAAGATCATTTTCAGGTGGTCGGAAATTCCATAATTTCCACCAGTGATCTCGCGATATAATGTACCTTCAGTACAAAAATAATGTACTTTTAATATATTAAAATGTACACAATAATTTGCCCCCTAGGACAGAGGATGTGAATGGCCCTTAAGTTTGGAGTTCAAACTTGTGGTTAATTAACACGAGCACCAGATAGCCTTTTAGTCGATCTAGATAGCTTATTTGAACCCTTTCTTAGGATTTGGATAACCCTTTATCACATAGCCATTTTTCCCCCATACATCAACATTTCAACAAGAACATCAATGATAGGTATTCAAACTTAATTAAGGGAAGAGCTCATTCCAAAACACTATAGTCCAACATAATAGGTGAGAAAACTCCTCAAGTTTAAGTACCACTCCACAATCTCTTTCAGGATTCAGAAAATAATAAGTGTAATTAGCCTAAGATGGAAAAGTTTCAGATATCCATGAACATATACATATGTTAGAGCTAACTTTTTTAGTACTTTTAAAAGGGTTGTGACATTTTAATTAAAAAAATTGAATGCAGATAATGAGTAATGGAGAATATAGAAGCATTGAGCACAGAGCTATTGTGAGTGGCCAAAAGGAGAGGCTTTCAATAGCTGCATTTCACAGTTCAAACATAGGGACAGATGTTGGTCCCCTGTCTGATCTTGTGAAGAATGGTACAAAGTATAAGACACTGAGCTCTGAGGAATATGTGAGATTGGTTGTTTCGAGTAAGCTTGATGGCAAAAGCTTAGTGCACCATATGAAAATTCAGCAGTGAATTCAAGCTCAATTTGGCGTTATAACTTAATAAAATATCGCACTTTCTTTCAATTAATTGAGATGTGTATTTTGACCAACTTTACCCATCAACAATAAAGAAGAATCACATAATTATGCTATGTAATGTGTTTGTAGCTTCTCCCAAAAAGTTAAATCCCGAACCCCGGCCTGACAGAGCATTCAATAAAGAAGGCGTGTTGACATATTTTTGTGCCACATTTGTTTCACAACAATCTTTCTCTCCGTTTATAATAAACTATTCTTCTAAGTTCTCTAAAACCTTGTGAGGGAAAGCAGGGGAACTATGTGTGCCGAGGCAACTTGCCTGTTTGGTTTGCATGCGCGTGAGGTGTGGAGAATTATAGATTATTTCAATTTCGATTTTATAGCTTCCTTATTCTTCACCCTCTGCATCTGTGTTGCATAATTTACGCTTTTAAGATAGTGTTTATTAAACACGACACAAAGTTTTATTTTCTCTCCATTTCCAATTTCTGTTCACGTTCCCTAGTATGGCACCACCTTCGTTGTTCTAGCTTCTAGTCGACGTTGTTGTGTCATCCTCAAAAGCTCAGCAGTAAAAAGTGTAAATGTGACAATCCAAAATATATTTCCTTAAATTCTATTTTATAAAATTCAAAATAAATTATTTTTACTCCTACGACAATTTTTTAAATCGGTGTATGAATTAAATATTTTTAAATTTCTTATTTCGAATAATCCAACACCAAATATTCTTATATTTTAAAAATCCTATTTATTAGGTATATTTATGTACCAAGTTTTGACCCAAAAAGTCAATCTGAGTGAAACCTGTGAAACTGATTCAAGTGTTTTGGCCTAGGAATATTCTTACAAATGAACCGAGTTTATTCCTAAAAATTTAGAAACATATTTTTATCATAACTTGATCCAAAATTATAACCCGAGATTTTAATCACGAAATGACCAAATTAACCTCACTTGACCGAAAATTCCATCAGCTTTCCCTAGGGTTTTGAGCCCTACTACTTAAACATCCTTAATTTCTCGTATCTTTCTTCCTCTCTCTATCATCTTCATCTTCCAAAACCCTAGGTTCAAGACTTGGTAAGATATCTTCTCTCCTTCTCTCCTCCCATTCCCTTTGGTTAGCTTGTTTTAAGATGAGGTTATCTAAGCTAGATGTGTTTGTTTGGGTTGTTGTGGTGGCTTGCTTGAGAAATGGAGATGGTTGAAGAAGATAAAGTTAGAGATGAGTTTAGGAATGGATTTGGCTAGAAAAAGATTGCCCAAGGTATAATCCATGGATTCCCAAATCTATTATTATGCCCTAAGTTATGTGCTATAGTTGTTAATGTGTGTATATATATTGTGTATTTAGAATGATGAAATGTATGTTATTTGTTGTTGTGATGCTATGTGATCTTTGTGGGATTTTGGTGTATCTATTATGATGTTGTTAAGGGAGGAAGAACACTGCCTCGTGAGGCAGTGCTAGTTCTGTAAAGCCACGGACCTTAGTAATGGAACTACATGAGTTTTATCATAATGGTTCGGAGTGGCTCATTAGTTTGAGTATTAGTGTGTACGTGTTAGGGCCCGGGATTGATTCCTTTGGCCAACATCCTTTTCCAATTGAACAACTTCAACCTTTAAGAAATTATTTTGGATTAAATAAATCTTTATTTTGGTTTGGAAGATTATTTATATTTAAAAGTATATTTATAAAGAAAATCATAAATATTTTGGGAAAGGGTTTAAACGACTAAAATCTATGACTTGCCAAGAAAAATCTATTTCTAGAATTTTATATATATATATATATATATATATATATATATATATATATATATATATATATATGTGTGTGTGTGTGTGTGTGTGTGTGTGTGTGTGTGTGTGTGTGTGTGTGTGTGTGTGTGTGTGTGTGTGTGTTGGAAAATGTTATACTTTATTTTTGGGGAAAATGTATATATATAATTATGTATTTTGTATATATTTGTTAATATAGATATTTGAAGCTTATATTATTATTTTTGTAAAACTATTGGGTTATTGTGTTATTGGTGTTTTGATGCTTAGAGCATCCTTATCAATGGGGATATTAGATGGGAGAATGTAAGAGTGATTAGGAAAGAGAATGTGGGAGGGGAGAGAAAAAAAATCAAAATTGACTTTTTAAAATGAAAAAAATTAAAAACAAAAGTATGTTTGGCGCGCTGTTCGGCGCGCCTGACGCGCAGCCGGGCGCGTGCTGTGGACTTGCTGTGCACCAAACGCGCACAGATGAATTCTTTTTGCATTTTCTCCTCCCCACATCAACTATGTTCCTTTAATGGGAAGAATTCATTCTGAAAATGCTCCAAAAAAAAACACTATAGTGGATGCTCTTATTAATGATTAAGAATGCATGTTTATGTGTTTTTATGTATTGGTATTGTTATCTTGTTGTTCTTGGTTGTTTGGAGAAGTGTTGAAGGTGTTTTGAAATCTGAAAATGGGATTGTGTTCATTTGATGCAATTTCCTGAGCTCATTGCCTAGAGTTCTGTTTTGACCTTGTGGGGCTTACCAACGGACCCCGGAGGGATCCGTTGGTAAGCATCGTTGCCCAGCGGACCCAAGTGGCGATCCCTGAGAGGATCCGCCACTCAGGGCCATGACTTGGCGAAGCCAAGTGGCGGGGCCTCTCATGGTCCGCTACCTAGCCCCGCCAGGTCATTCTGGGAGGGTCGGGCCGTTTGAGGCTCAGCCCATTTTGTTGTTTCATACCGGGAATCGTGGGCTCGTGAGGCTCGGAGACTCGGGCTCGTAACGACATGCCAGTATGAAATGTGTCTATTTGATTTGTGAGTAAAACCCATTTTCAACCAAAGCACGAGATATGATTTTTCTAAGTATTTGAGCACATTGGTTTGTGAATTCTGAGTATATGTTGACATCATCATTGAACCATGTCATGGTGTTGGGTTTGTTTAGGTGTCGGGCCCTTGAAGGTCAGCCCAATGTCAAGTTCGTTCCGGTCCGTGACTCGTGAGCCCTTGAGGCTCAGAGACTTGGGACCGTGACGACATGTTTGCATGAAATGTGCCTAGTTGATTTATGAGTAAAATCGACTTTTCAAAGTAAGCATGATTTATGACTTCTTCCTAAGTATTTCTTGAGTACTTATAATTAAGAAGGTTGAGTAATATGTTGATTTGACATTAAAGTATGAGTTGTTGATGGATTTGTTTAAATGCCCAAATTGTATTGAATAGTTGCATTATAAATCAAGTTGACATGATTACATGATCATTTGTGCATAAATCATTACACATCATTTCTCATATTGTGACTATGTTTACTAACTATGTGTATTCTATGCCTATGAGATGTTGTGATGAAATGAAAGCCGGTTGAGAATTCCCGAAAGGTTACTTGAGATATGATGTGATGAACCCGGTTGAGAATTCTCGAAATGTTACTTAAAATATGTCGTGATGTACCCAGTTGAGAATTCCCAGAAGGTTACTTGAAATATATCGTGATGTGCCCGGTTGAGAATTCCCGGAAGGTTACTCGAAATATGTTGTGATGAACCCGGTTGAGAATTCTCGGAAGGTTACATGATTTACGTTATGGTAAATCCGGTCGAGAATTCCTAGAGGGTTTTCTTGATATATGTTGCGATGAATCCGGTTGAGAATTCTCGGAAGTGTGTACTAAAGTGTTATGATTATTCCGGTTGAGAATTCCCGGAGGCTTCCTTGAGATATGTTATGAGATCCGGTTGAGAATTCCCGAAAGTGTGTATCAAAGTATTGTGATGAGATCCAGTTGAGAATTCCAGGAAGTGTATATTAAAGTGTGGTGATGAGATCCGGTTGAGAATTCCCGGAAGGTTACTTGAAAAGAGTGTATAATATTGAATTCATGCCAAGTACTAGTTTCACCATGTGTTCCATTGGTTCATAATTGATTGTTAAGTTGTCATGCCACTTGATTTCCAATGATATGCATAATGTGATGTGTTACATTCTTGCTTGGCTTTGGTTACTCCCTTGATGGCACGTCACTTTACCTATTCCTTGATCTATTAAATCAAACTTGATTCATATCTTGCTAATGTGTAATAAGTATGTATATTTGAGTATGAATTGCATAAGTGTTTGAATGTGGATGATATTTGCATGTGAGTTTATTGCCTATAGACAAGCATTATTATTGTGAAATGTGTGTGTGTGTGTGTGTCTGTATACATGTGAAACTATTTGTCTTACATCTATGATCTTGTTTGGCTTAACGTGTTATAAGTGTAAAACTATTTATTTTCCAAACCTATATCTATATTCACTTTACAGGGTTGAGTGGTTTATACTTAGCATTTTTAAGCTAACGGGTTATCTTCCTTTTTTTTTTTTTTTTTATAACCCCTTTCAGGTGGACTTGATGCATGATGAGAGCACGCATTCGTTGTAGTAGTGTGTAGCTCTAGAGCTTAGTAAATGCTAGCCTTGGTTATCCTTTTTTCCCTTTTTGGTGATTGATGTTAGATATTGATGTAGCTAGACTACCTTCTTTTGGTTGGTGCGTAGACACCGGGGTTCGCATACCCCTTACTGTTGATGTATTGAGCTTTGATTCTAGTTTGTTAGTAGCTTTAGCATGTGCAGTTACTCGAGGATGGGTAACTGTGGCAGTGACACTCTCCTTTAGTTGTTGACTTTGGATTTTTATATATCCTAGTTTATCGTTATTTCCTTGTTTTTGTCTTTTTAGACTACTTAAATCGAGGCTTTAAAGTTTAGAAAAAGGGGGTGTTACAGTAAATTTTTCCGGTTTCATTCGTCAACAATCTCGACTTCAGCAGGCAAGTCTATCGTCGATCTCACCAAGGTTGCCCTACTAGACGGTCCAAACTACCACAAATGTTCTTCGAAAATGATCATGCACTTTGAGGCACTAGAACTGGATTACGTACTATCTGATGATCCTTCCAAGTATCAGGTCTCGTCTGAACCTCAACAGCAGCCTCCTGCAGATACCCAGGTCACCATCATTGATGCAATTCCTGATCCAAAGTCTCCTGCAACGATAACACTTGCACAGTCTCATGAGGCTTGTACGAAGTACTAGAAAGACAACAAAGTTATTCAGGCCACCATACTACATCAGTCTGTTTGACATATTTTCTGTACATTAGTTTGCCAAAACGATATGGCACTTACTGTACAAAAAGTATGGTGCTGGGAGAAGAAAGTACGTAGTTGGACGTTGGCTGAATTTTAGGATGATAGATTCCAAGTCAACAGTGGAACAAGTTCACAATTATGAAAATTTAGTAGCAGACATGGTGGCTGAAAGGCTCATAGGTGAATGCTAACTTTCTGTTGATGCTCTAATAGAAAAATTGCCTAAATCTTGGTCAGAGTTTCAAAATAAGCTGAAACATGAAACAAAAGAGTAAACCATGGAGCAACTAGTGAATTCTATCAACATCGAAGAATCAATACGACAACGAAATAGGTCTGTTATATCTCTACACCTTTAAATGCTAACATTGTAAAAACGATGATAATGGAAAAGTGGTGTTGGTCGTGAGTGTACGTTCGGAACTGTACGA